AGTGGTGGGGGGGGGTCCAGGAGGTGCCTGGGAATAGCCCAGCAGCCGAGGGGGAGAGGAGCTGGGTGCTCTTGGGTGGGTGGGTGGGTTACAGAGGGAGGGAGGCCAACACCCCGTGCCGGTTGATGGTCTGGGTGATGCAGGGAAGGGGTGGGAGATGCGGGATGGAGCTGGCTCCCACCCAGCTGCACCCAGTAAAGGTGTCAGCGCTTACTCCGGGGCACAAGCAGCCCAACCAAGCCAAAACGCAGGTCATGGGGCCGTGGGTCTGCCCTCCCCGCTGCCCACAAGGAAACCCCCCCTTGGTCCTTCCGAGCCGCCACGGGCAAAGCAGTTCCCGACGCCGACCTCTTCCCGAGAGGCACCGTCCCACCGGGGAACGCTTCCAGGTGCAGGAAAACCACCCGGGCAAACCCAAAGGAGCTGGCCCCGGCGCAGGAGCGGGGGAAGAGACGCGAAGCGGTCTCAATGAAGGAAAATCTCGCCCAGAGGCACCTCTAGCCTCGCTGTGCCCTCCAAGGTGGGCAGAAAAGCGGCAATAAGGGACAGCTTTCACCCTCCCGGCAAGTGGCAGCGGAGGGGAAGGATGGCACAAGGTCATGAAGCGAAGTCCTCCGGCTGCCCGGTGTGGGATGCTCCGGCAGAGCCGCTGCCCCGGCGCCAGGGGAAAGCAGCTTCGAGGGCAGAGGTCCGGAGAGAAGGAACATGACGGCCCCAAAATGGGTCGTTTCTCGGAAGAAATAAGGGGTGAAGATGAGCGGAGCGGGAGAAGCAGGCTGCCTTCTCCCCGGCCTAGGGGACTGGGGCAAAGCGTCCTTGCTGGCATCTCCTACCGCGGCCGGTCCCGCGGATGCTCCCTGGTGCTCTGGGGTCCAAATGCCTTCGCCGGGAGCTGGGCCAGGGCCGGGTTCTGCCACCCGCGGGGCTTGCCAAAGCCGGGCAGGAGCACGCAGCCCCTTCCTCAGCCGCGAAGCAGCAGCGCGCCTAAGGCACACGGGGGAAGGAGCGAGCACCTTTCCCATCAAAGCCCTCAGGAGAGGCTGGGGGGGTTCCCCCGCTCCAGAAGGGAGGGGGGTGTGGGCAAGGC